AAAAAAAAAAAAAAAAAAAAAAAAAAAAAAAAAAAAAAAAAAAAAAAAAAAAAAAAAAAAAAAACGAAGTCAAAGTCTTTCGAATTTTTATAATAAAAAAAATTAAAAATTATATATTTTTATGATGTTTATTTTTGTTCCCATGCTTTTAAAACATGAAAATTTTTATTATTTAAAAATTTTAAGACGAATTAAAATAATCATTTTTTAAAATATACAGAGACCAAAAAGAATGTTGTCAATAAAACTTAAAAGTAGAGAGACCAAATGAATATCGATGATCATTGACTCTTGTACATATTTTTAGTACAATTATTAGAGATATTAATAATTGAACCTTAAAATCTAAAAAAACGTATAATTTGTTAAAAATTGTTGTTTGGTCAACAAAAAGAAAAGAACGTTACCGAGAATATTAGTAGCCATGTCCCGAAACCTAAGTAAACGAGAACCATTCATAGCATGGTGCTCTAAAACGAGCGATAGGAGATGGTAGGCATAGAAAGTGACTAAACCACAAAAAGCAAGTCCTACACTTCCGCCAACCCAACCTAGCATCTTGAACGCAAAGGGAAGGCTTAGTAGCGATGGAGCCACTATGGATGTCGTCAAGTGGTACCCACAATGCCACCATGATCCTATCATCCATATCACCAAACAGTAATATATCATCAAATTATTAATAATTACTCATTTTTAATTTCTTATGAAAATATAATATATATATATTGAATATTAAACAACAATACATAAAAATTACATGAAATTAACGACTAAAAAAGTCATTAATCCTTTACTTTAACTATTCGTGATATGTCATGCTAATTAATATATTTACTAATTATTATTGAATTTGACTTCATTTAATTAACTAATATGTTAAGAAAACGGAGTTATAAGAATTGTTTATTTCATTAATCTTTTTAATTAGTCAATATAATACACGTTACAAAATTAAAACATTTAAAATAATATTATTTTAAAAGTTATTATTACCGACGAGATTTTTCTTCGTTCCAGTAAGGCACAAGAAAAAATTAATAATAAAAGTCCTTGAGGTAACAGAGAACGGAAGAAAAGTCGCCGATGTTGAGGCCA